CCCCAAAACCCCAAAACCCCAAAACCCCAAAACCCCTAGATTATCAGCAGGCTGAAATAGCATAAAAAGAAATAAATCTTAATTTTTATATAAATAAAAATGAAACCGAAGACTAAAAATTACTTAGTCATCGGAGTATTCTTACTCCTGATGACTGTAACTTCAGTCAATGCTAGTTTCAGTAAGTGAAACCCAAAAACCTTAAGCTAGCCACAAAGTTTTAGTTTGTTTTACCTTCATTCTTAAAACTTAATAAAGGATAAACATGGACGAATCTTTTGCACTTTATGAAGACTTCCAAAAATTAACCTATATCCTTAGCTACAGTTGAGGATGAATTAGTATCTAAGCTAAATAACTCAAACAAATTTAGACCTGCATTTTCTTCCCCTTTTTGAGAAGATTTTCTCCAGTTGAAAAATTCGAACTTTTCAAACACTAGGCTCTTTCTTCAAAATCTTTACCTTCGGACTTAAACAGTGTAACTCCATTGCTAGCCTTGAGGGGCCAAGAGTTATTAAGGTATCAATTATCTAACTTAGCTTCATGGACATATTTCTCCCTCTTAGAAATCTGTAACGTCTGATTCCTAAATTTCTCGATGACCAGAACTTGCTGGTGAAATGTTGTGCTTAAAAACAAAGCTTACTCTAAAGTTTGTTCTAAAATTCTTAAACTAATTACTCTATAGCTTGTGCAACTAACTGACTCAAATGTTTTGGAGCTGCAGCGAATCAGTGTACAGAATGAGACCCTTCTTCAGGAACTCCATATTTGCAGGCATTTACCTGTGTTGCAAGTTGTACAATTGGAACAGCAGATTCAGAGAGCAATATCTGCCTGAGTAGCAAGTATGACACTGATAATGTTTGTGCAAAAGGAACTTATAACCCAAGCGTTGGAGGAAACTCAGGTGGATCTTGCCAATCTTGTGACGGAGGTCAATACTGTAAGGGAACAGGTCAAGATGTTACCAATGGACCATGTAAAGAAGGATATTATTGTACCTCAGGAGCAAAATACTTAGCAAATGATGATGGCATTGCTGGAGCTACAGGAGGAAGATGTGATGCTGGAAATTTCTGCCCTACAGGGTCATCAGCCCAAACTACTTGTACAGCTGGAAAATACTGCTCTGAAGACTACCTTAGCACTGCATCTTTTGATTGTATTGAAAGATATTACTGTTCAGGAGGTACTAATAAAGAGAGACCAAGCAGCGATGCTACTAATAAAGGTAATATCTGCCCAGTTGGTCATTATTGCCCTGCAGGAGCTTCTGCTCCTCAAAAATGTCCTGCTGGAAAATACCAACCAACTACAGGAGCTGCAGCCAATTCTGAATGCTTAGCTTGCCCTCCAGGATCATTTTGCCAAACAGCTGGGTTACAAACACCAACAGGGCAATGTACTCAAGGATTTTATTGTGAAGGAGGAAATACTGTACCTTCTCCGGCGACTAACATTTGTGCTATTGGGTACTATTGCCCAACAGGAAGTGTACAGCAGATCCAATGTGATGAATCAAACTATCAGAGTCAAGCTCAACAAGCTATTTGCCCCGCTTGCCCAACCAACAAATACTGTTTCGATACAAATTCACCTCAAGATTGTGAGGCAGGATACTATTGCCCTGGAAACAACAAAAAGAAGGCTTGTCATCCTGGTAAATACGGAACTGCTGCTGGTACAAGTACTGAAGCAGCTGCTTGTAGCTCATGTCTTCAAGGAAGAGCATGTGAGACTTTTGGAATTACCACTAACTCTAAAGCTTGTAAGGCTGGATACTATTGTACGACTGGGTCTATCAGTGCTATTCCTAAAAACTCAACTCATGGAGGAGCTAGATGTGCTAGAGGTAAAGTCTGTGCTGAAGGATCTCATGCCGAATCTAACTGCGCAGGAGGAAAATATTGTGACAGGGTAGGATTAGCAGACTCTAGTGGAAACTGTGAAGCTGGATACTACTGTACTGGAGGAACTATTAGACAAAATCCTAGAGGAACTGGAGGAAATGTCTGTCCAGATGGTCACTATTGTCCTGAAGGAAGTAGTTCAGCAACTAAATGTCCCGTTGGAACTTATAGAGATGCTCAAGGAGGAACAGTCCTTTCAGATTGATTTGCATGCCCTCATGGTCAATACTGTGAGAATGAAGCTACTACTAATCCATCTCTTACAACATGTTCAGCAGGATTTTATTGTCCAGAAGGGCAACAAGCAGGAAGCCCTACAGCTTATGTCTGTCCAGCTGGATATTATTGTGTTGCTGGTTCAAAAATTCCAATTAAATGTGACGAAGGAACTTACCAAGCAAATACTCAACAAAGCTCCTGTAATGCATGTCCTTCTGGCTCTTATTGTGATGGTTCTGATAGTTCAACTCATGTTGCATGTCCTCCGGGATATTACTGCCCACAAGGAACAAAATATTCTACCCAATATCCTTGTCCAGAAGGAACATATCTAGATATATCAGGTCAAGATCACCAAAATGATTGTAAAGCCTGTCCTGCTGGATATTTCTGAGATCAGAAAGGTCAAACTACGTACTCCAAAAAGTTACCAGCAGGATATTTCTCAACAGCCACAGGACTCACAGCTCCTAATCCATCTGATGTGGGAACTACCAAAGGAACTTGTCTAACTGGTCATTACTGTGAAGAAGGAACTTCAACTCCTACAGCTTGCTCAGCAGGAACTTATAATGATGCAAGAGGAGCTACTAGTTCATCAGATTGATTGAAATGTCCTCCAGGAGAATTTTGTGCTGTGGGAGGCAAGACCTACGCTGAGCTTGTTGCACTTGGAGGAACATCTCATGGAAAATGTCTCCAAGGATATGTTTGTTACCCAGGATCAACAATTAACAATCCAAATGACAACATACAGGGAGTTATTTGTCCTAAAGGTTACTACTGTCCGACTGGAACTTTCACTCAGATTGCATGTCCACCTGGATCTTATGCTCCAAATCAAGGGTATGTTTACACTTTTATTTCTCTCATTAAATCTGCATTTCTGATTTGTCTAAACTCTTATCGACCTGGTGAGAAATACTTTGAATATATTTTAGCATTTATAAAGATCAAAGAGACTTTATATATTATCACGTATCTCTTTCTTTAAGAATTATTGACAGCTACAGTTTATTGTTCCATAAAGTGCTCGCTCTGATTTGAATTTGGGAGGAAATTACAATAGTAGCATAATTATATTTCTATGAAAATACATCTCCTTCCTAGAGGTTCTAATCCAATACTATCAATATAAATAAAGCTTAAAGGTTTGTAAATGAATAAGATTAGAGCTATCTATAACTTTGTTGTATATAAAATCTTAGAGCTTAAAATGAAATATTTTCCTTAAAATTTTGTAGTCTTTTTGAGCAATTTTATCTAAAACTCCTTTTACAATATTAAAAGATGAATTGTCAGGTCAACTATCTAAATCCTCAGCTCTTATCAATTATATAAAATGAGAATTTGATCCTATGTATAATTTTGTTACCAAAGTCTTTTGGAATGATCATCACTTTGAAAAATTTGTATTCTACTCTGTAGATTTTTGGAATTTTCAAAATTTTTTGCTTTCTTAGGTTTTCAGAATTTGATCAAGATTTCATCAACTTTCTTTTTAAATTTTCAATGCGGTTTTGGATTTTGATTAATCTTTCAAATTATTTCATTCCCAAATCTCGAGATGCATTTTCTACATTGGGGAGTAATTGTCAAATATAATTTCTAAGGTTAAATTAAGATCAAGATTTTAATCAAATTCTATAATAGGCAACACCAATGAACAGACTGTCCAGCAGGTCAATACTGTAACACTGCAGCGATGGATGCACCAATTACTTGTACTCAAGGACACTATTGAGCACTCAACACTGTTCAACCAATTGCATGTCCACCTGGCACTTATAATACAAACACTGGAAGTACTTCATCAGCTGCCTGTACTGCTTGTCCATCTCAATACTACTGCGATGAAGAAGGAATGGTCAATTATAACTCTAATAAAAGATGTGCAGCTGGATATATTTGTGGTGGAGGAGCTGACTCGGCATACCCAATCTCTTACTTATCTTCTCAAGTAAACTACAAGTGTCCTAAAGGTCATTTCTGTACACAAGGAGCTACTTCTGCAAGTTCGTGCTTAGCTGGAACCTTCCAAAACTCATACGCTCAAAGCTCTTGTAAAGATTGTCCTCCAGGATATTACTGTGGTACTGCTGGTCTAAGCACTCCTACTGGGTCATGTACTGCTGGATATATGTGCTATGGAAAATCTACAATTGGCAACCCAACTGATGGTACTGTAGGAGCAGTCTGCCCAGCTGGATCTTACTGTACAACAGGATCAGCAAAAGCCATTATTTGTGAAGATGGTACTAAAACAACTGCAACTACACAATCGTCATGTAGTGACTGTGCTGCAGGAAAATGGTGTACTGGATCTACAGAATATGCATGCCCAACAAGAAGATATTGCATAGCTGGATCAGTGAGAGGAGAATTATGCGAACCAGGAACATATAATGATGGAACTACTCCGGATTTAACTTCTGCAGCTCAATGTTCTGCTTGTCCAGCAAGATACTACTGTATTGATGGCGTTAAAGGATCAGATTTTTGTGAATCTGGACATATATGCTTGGGAGGTGCTACAACTCCTCTCCCAGCAGGAACTTACGGAACTGACAATAATTATCAATGCCCAAAAGGAAGATACTGCTTAAAAGCAGGAGCCACAAATGCTAATGATGTCACAACATGCTCAACATCAAAATATACTTATGGACTTGCAAATGATGCGATCGATGATTGTTTGCCATGTGCAGCTGGATCATATTGCCCAACAACAGGATTTGAACCAATAGACTGTCCTGCAGGATCTTACTGTATAAAAGGAGTTACTACTCACACTCAATGACCTATTAACACTGTGAGAACTACAGCAAATGCTCCATATGAAAGAGCTTGAGAGCAGTGTCCTCTTGGTCACTTCTGTAATTCCGTTGGTTTAAATACCCTTACCTCCAAACAATGTTCTACAGGAAAATTCTGCCCAATAGGTACATCAGCAGAAGTCAATTGTCCTTCAGGAACTTATAGGAATACTGTTCAAGCAGGAGTGAAGGGTGACTGTACTCAATGCCCTATCGGATATTACTGTCCAGAAGGGACTACAAATCCTGTTGCTTGTGTCAATGGTCAAAGATGTAATGCTGGAAGCTCTCTCCCAAAAATCTGTGAAGCAGGTATGTACTGCCAAGTCGTTTCAGGATCTCCAAGAATGACCTTCACTTCATGTACCCAAGGATATTACTGCCCCCAAGGAGCTACTGCACAAGTTGCTTGCACAGGCCTGAGTACATCTTTGTGCCCTACTGGTTCTAAATTTGAGGGAGGACAATCAACTTCTTGTACAAAAGGATATTATCTTTCAGGCTCACTTTGTAAATTCTGTGATAAAGGATATGTCTGTTATGATAACTCTCAGACAAGTAATCCCACAGATGGAACACAAGGAAAAATTTGTCCTGTTGGTTATTATTGTGATCCTGAGATAAGTTTCACTGAAATCCCGTGCCCTGCCGGTACTTATAATCCAAACACTGAGGGTAAAACAATTGATGATTGCCTACCAGCTCCTCTTGGATTTTATCAATCTGCTACTGGACAATCAACTACCATTCAATGTGGAACTGGTGGTACTACTCTTGCGACAGGAAGCACACAATGTAGTTGTAAAGGAAAATACAGGTGGTGGAAGAGCGAAGCAAATACATGCCAATGTAAGAAAGGATATTCAAGCAATCCAAACAAGTATGAAGTTTTCAGAACTTCAGGACAGTATGAAGACTTAGATTGCGGACTTAACATGTGCTCCCCTGCTTGTGGAACTGGACAGTTCTGTAACAGTGAATTTAAATGTGAAAGCACAGATTGTAAAACATCATGCCCTCAAGGAGATGGAGTTTTCAGCAGTACAACTCAATCATGATCTTGCTCTAATGATCCCCAAAATGCAACTGCTGCTTGTGACACTACATGTCAAGCTGCTGCAGCTACTTTCTACTATGATTCATCAACTAGTAAATTCTGCTGTAACTTCCCTTGTGATTCATCAAACCCTGTCTGTAAAACAGCAACTGAACTTGGTATGTATTCAGGAGGTGGAACTATTTCTGGAAATATCCCATCAATGAGAGCAGGTAGCTCAGGTAGCTACGAATGCCCATCAACCATACTTGCTTTTAAACCGGCTTGCTATACCAGTGTCTATTCAAGAAGAGCTTTAGGGTCTGATGATGAAAATGGAAAGAGAAACTTACAAGCATCAGCTTCTACATATGACCAAACGATTATTTGCTTAACCTCATCAGTTACAACAGTAACATGGCAAGTGTCATCAACAAGTTTCCCAGTATACAATAAGGACCATCCTCTGAATGATGATACTAGCTTTGATTCATCTTCTTTCGATACTCTGAAAACTAAACTAATCAGCAGTGGTGTCTCTCTGAATACATTCACTTATTCATTCTCTGGAGTTTCAGGAGAGACCGCTTTGGTGTTCAATGATTATACTTCAACCTCTAAAATAACTGTTGTTGCCTTAAACAGAGCAAGTTGTCCTGATGGAAATGTTCTCCCATTCAATGATGAAACTCTGAAATCTGTTGGAATCAGTAAAGCTTCCTTCCTCGAGCTCACCCCAATGGAAGAATGGCTGATTGTTTTCCCAATAATGTTTTGTTTAATCGGTGTTCTCTTTGGAGTCCTGGTTAAATTCATCGAAGGCAAGATAGAAGAGCGTAGAATTGCCATGGCTAGAAAGCAGAAAGAGTTTATTAAAGAAGATGGTTCAGAAGACAGGATCGAGCATCTCAAAAATTTGTATAAGATCATCCAACAATGCCTTAATGAGCTTGATGACCCAGAGATAGAAAAGAAGCTTATTGAAGGAGATTCAAATGAATATGAGACTAACCTTCAAAATGAGAAGGCAGACATGATCAATGAAACGATCAACAAATTCTTCAATGACTTCAGATTCCAAGATGGAGAAATGGTCACAGATAAAGCTCAGAACGAAAGTACTGAGAACAGTGAAGATAGCAAGAGAAAGATTAATGGAAGCAGTACAGATCCAGATGCTGAAGGTGAGGAAGAAGAGTACTACCCAGATGATTATGATGATATCCACGACCTTGCTGACCAAGATTCTCAAGAAGAGTTCGATCCTCATCTCAGTGACCTTCTAGGAGAAGAACCTATCGAAGAACAGAATGAGGATGACGAAGACGAAGGCAAAGATGTAGAAGCTATCCTCTCCATTAGAAAAGAGAACGAGCGTAAAAGAAAGGAATATGAAGAAAGCCTCAAGAGACTCGGCCTTTCAGAAGAAGAAAGAAGAGAACTTATGGAAAAATACGAGGATTCTCTCAGAAGAGCCAGAGAAATGATGGAAGGAGACCAAGAAGCACAAGAGAAGAAACGTCTTCAAAGACTAGAAGAGAGAAGGAAAAAGAGAGAAGAAGGTCAGAGAAAGATGAAGGAACTAGAAGAAAATGAAAAGGAGATTCACAAGAAGTATAAGGATAATCTAGTTGATCTTGATAATGCTATTGAAGACAGAGTTGCCAATATCAATGATGATGTCCTTAAGCAAGAAAAGAAACAGAAGAACGAGCTTGAGTTGAGGCTAAAGGAAAGACTCAAAAAGTTCAAGGACAACTTCTACAAAAAGATAAAAGGAAAATCCGGAAACAATCAGAAGAAACTTATCGCTGAGCATGAGAGAGAAAATGAGAGACTTCTCAAAGATCTTGATAGAGAAAGATTTATTCAAGAAAAGAAATTGGCAAAGACTAGAGAAGCTAGAAGAAAGAAGCTTGTCGATGAAGCCACACAAGACTTAGTTGAGACCAAAGATAGTGTACTCAGAGAGCAAGCTGATGAGCTTGAAGATGTCCAAAGACAAAAATTACTTGTTGCTGCCCAATATGGCCTTGAAGACGATCTCTACGGTAAAGGAGTTACCAAAGCTGATGAAGAAGAGGAAGAAAAGAGAAGACTCAACAATATGAAAGAGATAGAGCTCATGAGACTAAAACAGAAGCATCGTCTTGAAAAAGAGATGGACGACCTGATTGAAGATGCATATCCTCAAGAGCAGGCTAACTTTGAGAACATGAACACCAACATCAATCAAGAAAGGGAAGCCTTCCAGAAACGAATCGATAATGCTTCTTCTGAAAGTGAGAAAGAAAAACTCCTTAGAGAGCTTGAAGAGAAAGAACAAGAGTGGACTGAAAACCTTGAGAGACAGAGACAACTCCAAGAGCAGCAGCTTTTTGAGAAGAAAAAGAGGAGAGAACTGTACAGAATGAGGAATAAGTTCAGACTTGATGCTAAGCACAGAGATGAAGACTTACAAAAAGAACTTGAACTCATGGAATTCGAAGCTTTCAAGAGAGAGTCTGAAGGATTTGAAAAAATCAATGAACTCTTGGAAGAAAAGAAGGGTGATAAAGATCTTCCGTTAATGGTCTATAAAGGACTCGAAGAAATTGTTAACAGAAGATTAGATGATCAATCAAAGAAGCACTTCTATGAACTCTCAGGAAAGTTATCAAATCTCTACACCAATATTGCTTTTGATAAAGCTTTGGCTAGGAAGAACCTCGAAGAAGATATGAACGATAAGGTAAAAGAGCTTGATTCCAGAAACGCACCTAGTCAGGAGTTCCAGAAGGAGATCAACAGGTTCCAAAAGGAACTCGACAGGAAGGGCAAGCAGCAGGAGCAAGACCTGATCAGGAAGCAGATGGAGGAAGAAATGACCCTTAGAGAACAACTTAAGGAAAAGAACTATGATGAGAAGAGAGGACTTGAGGAAGATCTTGATAAGAAGAAGGAAGAAATCCTCAAGAAACTTTCGAAAGACTTCAGAAATGAGGACATCCTCAAACTCTTGATGGCTAGAAGTAGGGAAGAACTTGATGAAAGGCTGCTCAAGATCGCTGAGGATAAAGAAAATGATATTCAAAAGATCAAATTCAAGCTTGTTGCTAAGAACAAGAAGGATCTGGCTGAGATGGAGAAGAGGCTTGAAGAAGATCTTGCTAAGGCTAAGAGGCAGGAAGAGATCAATTTTGAGAAGAAGAAAAAGAAGATGCTTAAAGATCTCAAGTCTAAATACATGGAAGGGCTCAAAAATAGAGAAAATCTTACTAAAGACCAGAAGGATATGCTCTTGAAGAGACATGAAGATGAGATTAGCAGATTTGAAATTGCCCTTGCTAAAGAAAAGGAAAGACAGTTCACAAGAATGAGAGAGAAACTTATCCTCAAGAGACTCGAAGCTGAAAAAGAAAAGGAACATAAGAGAAGAGAAGCTAGAATTAACAGACAGCTTAGAGAAGACGATGAAGACGAAGATGAATCAAGAAGACGTAGAAGAAAAGGAAGAGGAAAGCATGATAACCTCTTGAGCCAACTCACTGATGTCATGTCTGAAAGAATGGAAAGCCAATATGACAAATCTTCAGTTATTCCAAGAAGACACGGAGTCAATCTTAATGTCATGTTGAGAGGATTGAAGGATAGCATCCTTGATAGACAGCAAAATGATAAGAAATTCGATCCAACTCTTTACCTCAAGTTCAAGGGAGATGACAATGATGAAGAGTTCGAATTCCAAAGACTCCAGACTGATGCGGTTTCCATGAAATCAACAGTCACAGAACCCGATGCTTCTAGGCTCCTTAGAAGAATTATCAGGGTTGAGAAGATCTCTAGCAAGATCAACGAGAACAAGATTCTTCCAAGAATGTATAAGAAGACTCACTAGATACTTTTGGACCAGAATTTGACCCTCAGTTGATAAATCTTGGGAGGTCTTAGCTACTTAGTGTAGCTAGATTTACTTATTTTACAAGATTCACAATATTTCTAAATCTACATTGATTCAAGAGTGAATCAATACCTTGGGGTTTTGGGGTTTTGGGGTTTTGGGGTTTTGGGG